TTATTCATTTTGGTTATGAACTGAACTTCGATAATTCGTAGTAAATTGTGTAGTTGTCCAAAAATAGTAAAACTAATTTTGTTAGGTTCGCAAAAATACCATCTATCTATTAGTGTAGTTAGTTCACAGTTAGCTGTTATGATTATGGGTTCATAAATTCCAATTAGAAAGCTTAATATTAGGTAGATTAATAATTGTGGGAATTCTTGTGGCAAATCGGCAATAGTTTTAGCTTTGAAAATTTTACAGTAGGTTCTATAGGGCATTAGGTACTTGCTGTAAATTTTATAGCCGTAGAACGGGTTGCTAAACAAAGTAGTCATTACACTTGCTTTATCGAATATATCGTAAGTCAGTATTATGAGTAAGAATATCGGTAGTTGCTATAATAATAACGAATGTCATATTTCAACCTTGTTATCAGATAGTTTAGCCTCGTGGTCGATAGCTCTAGCTTAGTAGTAAATCGATGTACTCCTATTTTAAGAGCTGCTGTTGTTATTAAACATTGCATCATCATTTCATGTAGATCACGAACCGGTAGACTTTGTGCCCGTCGGCGAGCCGAAATACGACGAGGTTATCGAGGAATACAAGGAGGAGATCTTCGCACAGAAGGAAGCCCAGGAGCCTATTGGTACTGACCTTGCTGACTCGGCACCTGCCCAAGGCAAGCCCCGGTGCATAACCCATATTTTTTTTATCACTGAATATATATATGTGATGTGCATTTAAGTTACAGATATTTTATGGAAACTACATGCCTAAATATATCTACCCATGAGTCCTACTAGTACAGGTCGAGTAGCTGCTATGCTCAGGATATCGGTAGCGTGAGTAACCTGTCGTTACTCGCAAAAAGGTGATAAAATATGAACACTCATGATAAAATGATGGAAAAGTAATTGGTGACCGGGCAGGGATATGGTTTGGGTATTGGTGTGTGTAAAGGGTTGTGTCCTGCGGCCAACAGGCATAGCTCAGTTACACTTTTTCCCTGTCTGTGTCGATTAAGGACCGGTCGTTGCATAAGGCATCGTGGACAAGTCACAGATTTATTGTCCCAAGCGCATACTTAGGTATGGGCGCAGGAAAGACTTGTTGCTCTCTTGTCGCGGATCCGGCTCTTTCCGGACCGACTGATGGGAAGAGGAGGTGGTGGAGGTCCTTGCACTACACTGAGTCCGGGACTCAGGCTGTGGGGGCTTGGAGTCCAAGTTTGGACGGGGACCTAGACACCCGAGACAGGAGGGTGATGGGCTAGTCCTGCTTGTGCCTGGGGTACAAGCGGGGCGTGTGTTTTTGGGGCACCCAGCTGGGCATATTGATTCGCGAATCGCCAGGAGATCCGGTACGGCTTGTCTCGTGTTTAGCACCGTAGTAAGAACTGAAAGTTGAAAGGAGAAGAAATGGAACTGATTGCTCAACTTTTGCTTGAAAGTAGAACATGTGCTTATATAGACTGGCTAGATGATAACTTAATACGGCCGATAATAATAATACATAAATAAGGACTCACTATTAGTATTGCTTTCTGCTAAAGAAAACCAGCAAACCATAAAGCTTATCATATCTCTTGGAGTCGGGAAATTATTCCCACTAGTCGGGTAAGTCTTGCGAGTACATTGTGTATTCAGGGTTTATTAACCCCTGTTGCAGGTGATGCTTAAGGAGTACCTTGTGTGGAGGATCCTTCTGGTGGGCTCAGACGGAATCCTCGCTACCTTATCGCTAGATGTTATCTTTTTAATATTCTGTTGTTTATCATTCAGCACTCTGTATTTGGTATTGTAATAAGAGGTCTGTTCGCTTGTCTGAATTCTGAAGGAATCTGGATGGTTTGAAGGAATGCTCGAGGAATTTGTGAGAGAAAAACACTGTTTCGGATAAAAAAAATAAGCGGATCAAGCCGGGTTTAAGGGCACGTGAACGGGGCCAAGGTACTTTTTAAGAAACTCTAATGTATGAAATGGACTTGTGTTGTAACTCGTTCTCATTATTGGATCCTTGGGAAAAATGTGGATCTTTTGGGTTCTCCCTCGGGGTGTGCCCGACGGACACCGCTCGCTGGAGTTGCTTTCGGGTGCTTAGTGTCTAATGGAAGACGAGCGCCTCCGTAAGTACGCTATTTTGGACAGTTCTGCCACATAGTTAGAAGGATTCCTTCGGGGAGCTGCTTCTTCCTCTAGATTCCCTTCTTCTATAGACAGACCACCGACTAGGGCAGATGAAATTAGCCCTATTACGATGGTTTTAAGTCAAGCATCTTAAAAAAGTTGGATTGGTCGAGATCGGAATTGAAACGGGCTAAAATAGCATTAGAGCATTGCACCGAATGATAGGGTTGACCCCCGGCCTATTATCTGGCGATGTTGTTTCTCAGGCAGAAGGGACTTAACCTAGTGACCATGTCAGTGTCATGTGACCTGGCGGAGTACTCTATGACCTCGGCGGATCATCCAGTGAAGCCAAGCTTGACTAAGTGACTTGTTGGGCAGCTCACTGTGGTGTGTCATATGATCCGGTGGTGGGCTTTGTGGCCTTGACAGATCATCTAGTGAAAGTCCAACTTAACTTAACGACTTGTTGACATAGTTACTTGAGTGCACCTAATGATCTGGCGGACGATTGTGTGACCTCCATTCGTTGAGCCAACCTGGGCTTTTGTGACCAGGTGTGCAAGTCTGGTACAACATATGATCCAGTGAGACTGTGCGACCCATTGACATATCATACAGTGGGAATATTCATGTATATTTCTAACTAGCCGTTATAAGAATCAACTAGAATAATGTCACCGTACGATCTGGTGTGGCGAAGGCAGGCAGTGGACAATCTGACGATGTTTGTGTTTGCTAGTTTTTTTTCATTGGCAAGCAACCTCTTCACCCTCTATATAAGGATTTGAAGAGCCACCCAACCCCAGAAATGGGCTTTAAGTGTTAGCCTTGAGTATTGGTGGTGTTCGAGCTTGGATTTTTTGAGTTCAAGTTTAAAGACTTGTTGCTCTTAGTTTTGCTAACACCTAGACAGCTCGGTGGAAGTCTTAGTGACCATCCTTGGTGGAGCTTTTGTGATGAGGCTCTAGAAGCTTGTATATGGTCTTTAAAACCACCATACGAGAGTGACAAACGGGTATTCACTAGTGGAGAGTAGCTTAACTAAAGTTGCCAATTTGTCTTTTTTTTACTTGCTCTCTTTTCAATTGCTTGCAACTTTTTTGTGTGACAACTATAATTCATGTTAGTGTGTGACCTTACTCTTAGCGTGATCTTTCTAAGGACATGATTGGTATGTTGGTTGACTCAATAGTTTGTCTTTCCAGAAAAACTTAGGAGCCGATGTGCTATAGGGGTTTAGAGTTTGCATGGATTAAGATTGTCGTTTAGTTTGTTAGAACCAATTCACTCTCGCATGGACCATTTGGTCCTTACAATAACATCCGTATGTGAATTATCGTACATGTCGGGATGGTTTGAGAACGGATCGTTCGTTTTTGCCGCCGTGAAAGCCACCGAGAGGAACATGACATGAGTTGATTCATGGATCCTATATAGGGACCGAAGCAACATGCATTTTGGGCCTGTTTGGTTGGAGACCTGGTTGACTTGCCTGATAAAAAGTGTTGTCTGGAAGTTGTCTGAAATTTTAATGAAATATGCCTCGTCAGACAAGTAGGAAAATGATGTGTTTGGTTAAAAGTATGTGCCTGAGAAGTTTAATAGAGAGAGAAAATATGTTTTCTTGTGTATATAACTTTAACTTTAACATCGTTAGAGCACTCCATATTATTATAATACAAAAAATAATATAAATAAAATTTTAATAAATTAATATTATAAAATACAAATAATGTTACTATTTATAATAAAGAAATGAATATAGAATAAAATATATTCAAGGTATTTCGGCCACAACTATTACCTAATGACCAATAAAAAATAGGAACAAGAGTACCTATTTAAATATTAATTAATGGTGTCATCTCGGTCACCAAAGAGCTACAACCGAAAAATAAAGAAGAAAAACTACCGACCCGACAGCTCTAACCCAGGCAAACGCCGTGCGCTGCACCAGGCACTCGTTTTCGATCGCCTGGCTCAGGCCACCTTGCCTGGCCCAGTCAGTTATCCAGGGCTCCATCCAAATGCAGCACAGGCAGCGGGTCTGTTCGCTTGAACTTATCAGCCGGCTTAACAACTAGAATCTACAGTATTTTTCTCTCACAACAAATCAGCTTTAGTCAATTTATCAATTGTCCATCCAGGCAGCTGTTGACCCAGGCTTGTTTGGTTCAGGCCACCAACCAAACAAGCCCTTTCTCTCAGCTTTTGTTCCATCAATGAAATGCACAAGAGGATTTCTAACTAAATTGGCTTCTCAATGGAGCACGGTGGTAGATGGGCCTGGTTCGTGGTTCCTTTTAGCATAAAGTCGAAGGGTAAAGCACTCAAACCCAAACAGCTAGTCGTGGCTAAAGTTCACCTGTTTTTATTTAGGGCGCGTTTAGATCCAAAAATTTTTAGGTTTTGGCTACCGTAGCACTTTCGTTTGTATTTGACAATTAGTGTTTAATTATGGACTAATTAGGTTTGAAAGTTTCGTCTCGCGATTTCTCACCCAACTGTGTAATTAGTTTTTTTTTCGTCTACATTTAGTACTTCATGCATGTGCCGCAAGATTCGATGGGATGATACTGCGCAAATTTTTTTTGATTTTGAGAGAAACTAAACATGCCCTTAGCAGAATAGGAGCGCAGTGTACACCAGGCCATCTGTCAACTGTCATGCTAGTCTGAACTTGCAATTTTTTATTTCTGAAAAAAGGAAGGAGTGAACAAATCCTCCGGTCCACGCCTATCCGAAACGTATTAATCAATCAATTTTATATGACGAAACTGTTGCATTTTTTATCTTATCAACACAAGCGCGCGTGGAAGAGAAATTCGTTTGTTGGAATGGGAACGTGCACTAGGCCGGCGCCGCCGCCGCCTGCCGTTGTCAGTGCCGCGACAGGACGACGTCGTACAGGCCGTGCGCGGCGAACGCGAGGCCGAAGAGGAGGATGGCCCAGTCGACGGCGCGCTGCGCGGCGCCCGCGGCGTGGCCCACGACGCGGAGGTGGAACAGCGCGGGCAGCACGAAGGAGAGCAGCGCGCACACCGTGCTCCCCACGAAGGACGCGAACGACCCGAACGCCGGCACGAAGCACGCGATCGCCGACAGCGCCACCAGCACGGCGACGCGGCTCGCGTGCAGGGCCGCCCGCCCCATGGCGCCGCCGACGTGGCAGCGCTTCCGCAGCCACCCGTCCGGCGCCAGCAGCCGCGCCTCCACGATCTCGTGGATCGGGTGCATCATCACCGGGAACGTCAGCGCCAGCGCGATGCACAGCACCACCTGCACGAAGAGCATTCATTTTTTTCGCCATTGGTTTCATTTCATCGATGGGGATGGGCCGGCCGTGTTGTTCGTGCCTGAGAGAGTTTTTCCTGACTGACCTTGACGGCGGTGGTGGACCAGGTGCTGGGGAGGTTGAGCGTGATGATGTCCTTGGTGGCGTCGCCGTAGGCGAGGTAGCCGCAGGCGCCGAAGCAGACGTACACGGCGGTGACGCCGGCGATGGCCTGGAGGAGCACGGAGCAGAACCTGCTCCGGTCAGCCATGGACGCCTCGAGCGCCAGCGTCATGCAGAAGCCCTCGAAGCAGAAGACGGCGAAGCCGGCGGCGAACGTGACTCCCCAGAGCCCCTCCACCGCGGCGCGGGCCTGGAACGGCTGCTCGCCGCGCGCGGCCAGGAGCTGGAGGTCCTGCTTCACCACGGTGGCCACGGCCAGCACGGTGCACGCGTCGGCGAGGATGCTGAACTGCCCGAGCGACGACAGCGAGCGGAGCAGGGAGAGCGCCGCCTGGACGGGCAGCAGCAGCGCGAGGACCACGGTGGACGGCGTCAGCGGGCCGTGCCCGTCCTCGGCGGCGAACACGGACGACACATTCTGGCCGATGAACACCAGGTACGCCACGGTGCCGCCCGTCTGCGACAGGATGATGGTGGCCTCCGTGAAGTGCCTGCCGATCCGGCCGAAGCACCTCTCGCCCAGGTCGCCGTAGGTGTAGTTGCTGCAGCGATGCTGCTCGCCGTCCTCCTCCGTCTCTTGCTCTCGCAGCTTGTCTCTGCATTCCAGCTTCATTTCGTGGATGGATGAAGCTTCGAATCAATCACTAAGCTAGATCTGGAGCAAAGATTAATCGAAACAGGTACTGCACTGACCAGCAGGAGCATGCAGTAGAATGTCGCGGCCCCGGCGCCAGCGACGCCGAGTGCGCCGGCGAGCCAGCCAGCGGTGCGGAATGCGTAGGGCAGGCCGAGCACCCCGGTGCCGACGATGGAGACGACGATGTTCCCGATGGTCTGCGCCGGCGTGGCACCCCTCCGCGCCTCCTCCAGCAGTGGCGCCTTCGCCTCCGCCGCCATCGTCCCCCGGAAACCAATGCCGTCTCTGTGGAGGAGAAGGACGCCTGCCTCGGGCAATCAAGGCGAGCTTAACCCGGCGTCGCCGTCGACGTCGACGTCGACGCGTCTCTTTCCGCAATTCCTTTTCCTACTCATGCTCTTGGATCGACGTGCGCGTAGATGAGGATTAATGGACCAGATGATCTTATCCTTAGACGGCGTGTCGGGTGTGGGGTAGCTGGGTAGCCGAGTAGCAACAGTGGCACGCATCCTGTGCTGTGCCAGGTGTGCGTGTGTTCTTCCGCTTCTGCCTTTCTGGCAGGGAACGGAACGAACGCGAGGAATTGGAACATGACTGGATTTTTGGCAACCATTTTTTATTGGATCGCGGATTGGTTTGGCCCCTGCGGATCGGGTGGTTGGATCGTCGCCGCCGACCGTCAGGATCCAATCCGTCCGGTGGTCGCGGTGGGGCTCAGTGATGTGGAGGCGTCGAGTGGCTGACGAGAGGAGCAGCCGCGAGCAGCACGTTCGTTTGTCAGTTGTCACCGTAATCATCGTCATCATCGCCAGATAAGAATGGTAATGGTGATTCAGCGAACAACGGACCAATACTTGGTTTTCCTTTGTTTTGGTAATGGTAATGATTAAGCACAAACCTTTGGCCCCGTTCGCGTGCCATTAAATCCGGCTTTGATCCGTTTCTTTTTTCATCCGGAACATTGTTTTTCTTTCACAAATTCCTCCAGCATTCCTCCAAACAATCCAAATTCCTCCAGCCGAACACCCCCTTTATTTTGTTTTCCTTTTCGGGCTTCGGACGGAACGTTCGGACACCTACGCCTGCAATCCTTTTTCCACACCGTTTTGCGCGCCCATGTGGGACCCGCATTGTCCCGAATGTCATCAGCATCGAGAAGAGAGGGTGGAGGCAGTGGATGCCCAGCCGGTGCTGTGAAGAGGAGGAGATGCCGAGGTGAGGCAGCAAAAGGCAAGGAGAGAGATGCAACACCCGATCTGCTATTGAAACATTCAGATGCAACACTTGCAACAAAGCAGATGAAACATTTGCAAAAACACTTGAAACCATTGCAAAAACATACGCAACATCCAGATAAAACACTTGCAAATATATGTGTGAAACATATGCAACAACCAGATAAACACACTTACAACATACGTCTGAAAAACAGATGAAACATTAGGAACAAAAGCTTGCAACATACGTGTACAACCATTGCAACATATGCAACATCTCGTTCTACTTTTGCAACATCCATATGGAACACTTGCAACATACCTCTGAAATATCTGAAATATTTGAAACAGACGCTTGCAACATGCGATTTCAAGTGCAACATCTAATTGGTGTTTGGACAAAAATGGAGGCTCGTCGACGCGGACCTCGACGTGCTATGGAGTGGCGTGGAGGTCACCGGTGTGGAGCTCGTCGGCAGCATGGACCTCGCCGGAGCCGTGGCAGGTGGATGGAGCTTGGCCGCAACAGGAGGCGCGAGTTCGGGCGGGGGCACGCGTCGCGGGCACGCGGCCAAGGGCGGCGCAGGCGAGGGTGGGGTTGGTTCCACGAGCAGGAGTGCGCAACGTACAGAGCGAGCGGGCAACGCAAGTGGGGGCGGCGTGGTCGGGGTCTGTTCCGTGAACGGGCGACGCGGGCGAGGTCTGTCCGTTCAAACGGATGCTATATTAGGAGCATTACCGTTTCCTTTTGAACGGATAAAATCTTTTTTCTACAGTAGTCCGTTATTTTTTTTAAGACGGTAGTCCGTTATACATACAGACTGGTAAGTATATTTTGTGCTTTGGGCTAACTAGGCTTTTGGAATCGGAGGTCCATTTTTTCACCATGTGGAGAAGGACGGCTAGTTGGGCTTGACAAAAAGACAAGGCCAGAGTAATAAGTCGTGTTAAGGGCTGCCTGGATACTTTGCCTGATACTGTTTTGCCTTGCCATGCTAAAATATAAGAGACACGTGCGAACTGATCATACATTAGTGGTTGGTTCCTTATGTTAGAATCTGCTCATCCGAATTTAAATCCCTGACTTGGCACGAGTGCTCGTATTTTCCTAAATTTATTAAAGGATTTAACGACGCTAAGCTTTCTATGGTAGGCGACGTCCCCATCGACCGCGAGGAGTCTGTCGTGACTTCATGAATCTCGAGATCTGTCGGCGTCTGTCGTGACTTCGTGAATCTCGAAATCTACCGACTCAGTCCTTCGAAGGTGCTCATAGGGATATGATTTATGTACGTGTATTCATAGCGGTGAGTGTGCGTGTGTTGTGGACGTCTATGTTGTACTATGTAAATCTAAAAAAAAAAAAAAAGAAGAAATTAGAGACACATGTGTTACCTTCTATTCTGTGCGGGCAAGATTTTTTCTTGCTTCCATGGGTGAGCCATGTATGCATGAAGCCTGACTCAGAAGAGATATTGTTTCGTTATCTGCATGAGAACAAATCACGTGACATGAATGTGTCAACATAAATACTAAAATAATGATTCTTTTACGATATATTGTGTCATAATAACACTTATTTTATCTTATCAAGCCTTAATCTTCTTTAAAATTACTTAATATTCATTAATTATGTGCTAGTAGCATCATTAACTGTATTAATACCCGCATGGCGCGAGCCTAGCTTGCTGGATACGGTCGATTCCTATTTTTCCCTTGGGCCTGGCTCGGGGCGCCCTTTTGCATGCGTGTGGTCAAGCCTGGCGACACGCCTTGGCTTCCAAACACACGGTCCTTGCACGCAACCGACGTTGCCGGAGATGATATGGGCAACCAAACATGTTCTTAGACAAACCTAGCCTATTAGGAACCAAATGCATTGTCATTTCTATTTTGAATTTGAAAGTTCTCATTAGTGCACTATTACTCCGGACTAAGGGCCAGCTAATTTGGGTTAGAAAGAGCTAGTGATTAAAATAAAGTCAGTTTTTGTTTTTTGTTTTTTGTTTTTTTGGCATCCTACCTATATCCATGTCTCAACTTTTCCTCTCTTATCCCCTGTGCTAATCTGGGCTAGTAGGGGCAAATGTAACTTTTACCATCACAACAAGTACCTATTAGTGCAGTATAGATCAAACGAACATCTAGATATTTTAAGTTTAGCTAGCTAGTAATGATTAATTTAGCTCAACATGTCCTAAAATTCGTATTTGTAAATTTTAATTTTGTAAAAGCCATGTTGAAAGGTCCTAATGGCAAGAGGAGGGGTGAATAACCTAATAAAATTCTCTACAAATTACTAGAGCAAGATGTTAGTCAAATAATAAGTGAAGCTTTTTGCTCTAGCTCTAGTCAAGGTTGCAAGCCACCTATCCCAACAATTCTGATATGTTATGATCTCTAGGCACAATCAAGAAGCTAAGTCACTACTCTTACTCTAGTTGAGCTAACAAGAAACTAAACCAACTAACTAAACAACTAGCAAGCTACTCAACTAGGCAAACTAGAGAGCTACACTACACACGTATAACAAGTTAAGTAAATATAAGAGTGTAGGGTGATTTTACCGGCCGTGGCAAGAGACAATCAATCATAATATATGAAGCCCAAGTGAATACCAGGAGAAGTCCAATATACAATTGATACAAGATTTTTCTTCCGAGGTTCACGTGCTTGCCGCACACTAGTCCCCGTTATGTCGACCACACACTTGGTGATTCAGCAGCTAATAGGTGTTTCACAAACCTAGCCCAACAAATGGGCGCCGCAAGAACCTACCCACAAGTGAGGGTAATTCAATGACACGAGCAATCCACTAGAGCACCTTTTGCAATCTTCCATGGGGAAAAGGTCAAAACCCCTCACAAATATAATCCTTGATTGAGGGCGGACACAATCACCAAATCCCCTCACCAATCAACAAATCACCAACCATCTAGGTGACGGCAATCACCAAGAGTAACAAGAAATCGACAATCACAATCACCACCTAGTGCCACCAAATATGCAACCTCAAATGCACACACTAGGGTTTCCCCCAAATCCTCTCATGAATGAGCACCAAGCTTAGAGAAGGAGGGGAGAGGGAGGAGATGCTCTTGAAGCTCTCAAGATCAACACTAGAGCTCAATCTCTCACTTGAATGGAGCACAAATCCTTGGGAGTGAGAGAGGAGAAGGAGAGAGCATGTTCTTCACTTTTGGATCTCAAGAATGAGCAATAGTTGGTGAGTGAGGTGGAAGAAGGGGTTAAAAACCCTCCCCACCCGCAACTAACCGTTAGGGTGTTTTGAGCACCCGCCTTGGAATATCCAAGCACGGCTCGGATATTTGTGGTGGTGGCTTGGATATTGGAGCGTCCCTCAGCCAACGGTCAAAACCCTAGTCAGCACGCGCTCCCGCCTCGGAATATCCAAGCGCGTTCGTCCAGGTACGAAATATCCAAGCACGTTAGTCCAAATTCGGAATATCCAGGCGCGTTCGTCTAGCTTCGGAATATCCAAGTGAGTTCGTCTAGGTCCTGAAAATCCAAGCACGTTCGTCTAAGTTCGGAATATCCAAGCGCGTTCGGAATATGCAAGACGAAGATCGCAAACCAAACAGAGAAAGCTGGTCGGAAATTTCTTTGAAAAATCCGACCCTCTCAGAATATCCGAGACAAGCTTGGGAATTCCGAGGATACCAGAAACAGCCCATTAAACTTTATTTTCAAGGTCTTTTCAAATGTGCTTAACTCCACCAAATGTTCTAACAAGTCAAGTGTGTGAGTTAGCATTTTTCAATAAATTTGAAAGGCTTTTCTCTTGCATCTCACCACGTCACTAAGCGCAATGCGTATGCAAATGAACTCACACTTAGTGATACTAGATAACCATTACAATTAAAATTTTTTCCTCTTTATAGTACGGTTATCTATTCTAAACCCGATCACGCACTCTATTGCGTCTTGACCGGTAAAACAAAATGGCCTTTGGTGATACCTTTGCCTTGAGTCTATTTTGTTTTTCTCTTTTTTCTTTTTCCAAGTTGGAGCACTTGATCATC